AAAAATTTGTCATTACCAGATGGCGGTCTGTACACAACATGTACAATGATGTTTTTAGTGATTTTAACTTCAATCGTTAATGATTCGTAATCATTACTAATTACACTAAGTTCGGTTAGCGGTTTAAAATTTAAAGAATTGTGAATAAAAATGCATACTCCTCCACCTATTGTCTCAGAATTTCTGACTTGATGAATAACTTTATAGTTTTGTAGTTGAAAATTTGAATTTTTTTTTCAACTTGTTTATATCGACACCAGGTCTCTGACACACAAATAATTTTAAAATTAATTTCAACACTATATAAAAAATCTTTAAATTTACAAAATTTTTTGAAAGCTCCTAATATTTAAGTGTAAAATAGAGAACTCATTAATATCTATATCAGCAGAAAGATTAGAAATATCGGAATTATAATAAGAAGGGGATATGTTGCTAATTATTTCATCAGTGTTAAAAAAATTAACATTTGGATCTGAATGACTCTCTAAAAGTATATTTTTATTTGTCTGGAAAGCCTTAAAGCTTAATTCACAAAAATTCATATCTTCCATAACAACAAGAAAGGTTATACTAACAAAATATTTAAAGTATAAAATAATTAAAGTTTAGTAGGTAATTTCCTGAATTCTTTTACTATTAATTTATCGTAAATTACAACCAAAAACATACCATTTTTCCTAAGTACCTTCATTTGCTCGAGTAGTTTTTTTCTGATACATGCAGTTTCCATTGAATAATCTTCATTGATATATATTCCAGATCCTTTTAGTTTATTCGCACTTTTTAAAACTTTTACTTTATCCTTGTATTTTAACAGTTTCATTACTATTGATCTCGGTCTACCTGCTTCAGTTTTCCTGACCTGTGTGCTTGTTCAACTACAATTCTTTTTAAATTAATTTTTTCTTTAAAAATATTTAATACCTTCAGTTCAGTGTCATCCCAATTTTCTTTTTCATTTTCCGACAAACCCTCTATTTGAAGATTATTTCTCCTTTGTCTATCTTCAAACTGCCTTAGTTTATTATCTTCCGTATCTCTGCTTTCTGATTTTGATATGATTTTTTTTTTCTAATTTGAGATTTTTTTTTTCTTGCATGTCTTATGTAAAGTTCATTTTTGTTTAATCTTTTAACGTAATTTTTTTGTTCCTCTTTAACTAATATGTTTTCTTTTAGGAGTGTCTCACACAAATCTTTTACAGTATTTATTTTAGCAGACCATTAATTCTATCGTTTATTAGTTTCAGATTTCCACTTATTAGTTTTAGAACATCATTTTATTGCTTAATAAACATTTCATTGAATATATTCCGAACAAGCTTTATTGAAATATTTTGTTCCTTGTTTGATAACTTATCCATGATGTATTACTTTATTTTATTTGTGTTCTTTTTTCCGTTGATAATTCCTATTTTTAAAGATATATAAATACTAAAACACATCTGCATCACATAAAATAATAAAGTTTATTTGTTCTAGTTTTCAAAAAATATTTATGTTAACATGAAATTCTAAAAAAAAAGCCACCAACAAACTTTACTTCCTCACTAGCAAAAATAAAAGCTCAAAAAACGTAGCACAGAGTTTTAGCACTTTTTTTCGGTTCCGTAAAACGCATATTTCCACGTATCTAATATATATATAAATGTATATATACATAACATTTAAGAGATTGAAAGATAAATATGTATATTTAATATATTTGCTTTTATATATGGTTACATTTAATTTTGTTAACATTTAATAAAAAACTCACAAACGTTTTTTATTCTGTGTAGACTGTGTAGACTTTTATGCTGTGTAGACTGTTAGACTGTGTAAAATATGACATATTTTAAAAGCGTGTTTACAATCTGAATGTCTACTTCAGTATTCCAATATTTTGGAATAATCTGAACCCGATAATTAGTTAGCAAAGAATTCTTTGTGGTATCTTACAACCTTGGAAACAACTGGCAAAGTATTTAATCATTTATATCTATATTTTGACTTGATTTCTGACTTTCAAAACTGGTTTTACTGCGTTTTATACAAAGTATATACTACGGCGTCTCCTGTTTATTAAACCTCTTAGTTCTAGTAAATTATCTCTAAAAATATCCTTTAATAGGGAATGAAACTTTGGGTCAGTCTAAAAACACCCGACGGGCATTTGTTTTGAAAAGTTACGATCTAAATGTATTTTAAATGTCTTTTAAACGTCTTTTAAACATTAATGTTTAAAAGACGTTTAAAAGACGTTTAAAACACATTTAGAACATAACTTTTAAAAAAAAATGCCCGTCGGGCAGCTTGTGATTTGTTGAACAAAGCAAATGTTTAACTGCATCTAACTTTAGGAATGTTATGAAAAAAAAAAAAGTTTTCTCTAGATTACAAATTAAAAAATTATATCATATAGTCGACCGGGCTGTAAACAGTATTGAATTTCCTTCATTTAAAAGGTGTGTTTAAGAACCATACTTTTTTAATTAGAATTTTTTTTTTTTTTTTTTTGTCATTTAGGTGCCCCAAGAAGACCTAACGGTCTTGTCACAGAGCACTGCGGAAGTGCATTCAACCAGGAAGTTCACGCCTCCTTCCTTACCTTGACGCAAAAATATGTTCAAAGCTCGTTTCGAACCGTTTCGAAGAATAATATACTCTATTAGCTTTGTAAAGATTGAAACTATGTTAATACAATGGATCAGTTGATAAAGCAGCCGTGGTGCAGTGATCAGAGTTCTAGCTCAGAACCAAGAGGTTTGAGGTTCGACGCCGGCTCTAGCCCAATAAGAAAGAAGAAGAAGACGTAAACTTTCTAGTTAAATGCTTTTTCGCGGTCATCTCTATCATCTCTTTGATAAGAACGTAAGGACTTCTCAAAGCATCTATTCACATACATTATTCTAATATATAATTATAAGAATATAAAATATAAGAATAATATCCTTATATTCAAATAAAAAAAAAAAAGATTTTTTATAAGACTTAGTGAGTGGGGCCTGACCATAATTAATAGAAAAGTTAATGAATTTTCTTAGCCGTTCTGTTAGAGCTCCACAATAGTAAGTGCCGTTATATAAAGAAACTAATATAGAAAATAATATATAATATAATAGAGCATAAATTATTCCAAGAATAGTTTGAGAGGTCAAAGAGTTTTCTAGGTTTTTTTAAAAACGGAACTACTTATTTAGCACTTTTTAATAGTTTAGTAAAGATTGAGAGTTTTGGAGAACACTTTTTGAAGATTATGATGGAAATCTTGTTTAAAGCACAAACTGTAGCCATGTTTAACTGCAAATTAACTTTAGCATTGGAAGCCTGAGTGGTTTGGATGTTTATCAATCGGTTAATCTGTTTAACTGATATGACAGGAAGAATATGGCTATTAGATTCAAGAGTCAAGTTTGAAGAAAAGTTTTTTACAAATAACTTTGCCCTTTTCTAGGGAAGTAAAAAGACTTGGTTCGTGAATTAAAAATTAAATGTTAAACTTACTTTATTTAATGACACTGTTAAGACTTTTTAAAAGTTTCTATTTGGTAAACTGAGAATAACATGACATTTTTACATTGGCTTCTTGCAATAATAAAAGGACATTTGTTCTTAAGAGAGATTTTCTAGTTAAAAAGATGAAAAAAATGATTACGGTTTAATAAAGCAACTGCTCAAGATGGTGAAAATTGTGGAATAGAATGAGACTTGACTTAAAATTGAATAGACGGAATAAAAGCTTTCAAACTTTTATACTAAAAGGAATAAAAGATTCCAAGATGCGTATTTATGCATACATAATATGGATACAAACATATGTGTTTTTATTTATTTAGATGCTGGCATACAATATTCATACATATTTATATAAAGTTCAGCATTTGTATGGTGCAGTATTTGCCGAAAGATTAGATGTATGAGTGGCGCGATTTTAACAAGACAAAAAAAGGAGGCATTATCTTTGACAGATTAGAAAAAAACGTTGCATCAAACATTTGTTAGAGAAGATTAAAGTGATTTAGGTATCACCATAATGAAAAGTAGCAGCTTCAGAAGAAAATGGTAGTAGTATAAGTAAGAAAATTTAAAAAGAGTGCTTTACATATTGTATGAATGAACTTTAGTTAGGGAAAGAAAATACTCTAGATTGTTTTTATTAGAGAAACAGCATAAACGAAGAAGGCTAAAGCCTGATGATGATGATGTTGATGATGATGGAAACAACAATTATGATAATGATATAGCGTATCCATATATATACAAAATATAACATGAATTTTGAACAATAATAAAAAAATACCGATCACAAACCCGCCCTCGGCTATATATTAAACCCGGCCCCGGAAATAAGCATATCGTATAGATTTTCCAATACACAATATGCTGCAATTTGAGGTCCTTTTTTGCATTTTTTTTCCATTAACAAGTTTCATCGTGTTAAATGTTTCGACCAATTTTAAATAAATTAATTCATTTTTTATCAAGGGCAATTTTGGATTCACATTTAACCAAATTTTCACAAGTTTTTGTTGGGTTTTATCAATTATGTTAGATTTGTTTTTAAACTCCAATTGTACGAAATAAAAGTATTTATAAATGTCTCTATAAGTTGGTAAGTCGCTTACAGGAAAATCACTTTTTGAACCTCCGATGAGTTTTTAGTGGTTTGTCTTGTTTTTGGAACCATTTATTGCAAGTTTTAATCAAAGGACTTTTTAAATTATTCAGCCGATCGCTTTTGTTTACAATTTTTTTTTAGAAAACTTTTCCCGCGTCTGAAGAAACTTTTAGTTTCTTTTGAATCACGCATTTATTTTTCAAGTCGTAAAAAATGAAAAAAATTGTAGCTGCAATTCTAAACGCGAAAAAACTGAAACAAATTTGTTAAAAAACTTAAGTTTAAAAAACTCTAGCTATCTGAGGGAACAATAAGTCGATTTCAAAAATCGACCTCCCTTAATGTATATTACCCATCAGTTGTATATTTAGAAAAATAGTAAAAAGTAATAATAGCTG